ATAATAAAATGTCACATTTTATTTAAAAAAACACCATCGTCTTAAAGTATGTAGAGCTTTTAGATATTAGAAGATACACTAACAATTGATCGGGGGGAATTGAGGAGGAGATTTTGCTCACTCATATTAGTGCTTTTAGGTAGTAGAAGTTAAGTTTACTAACAATTGAGCGTGATAACTTTCTCTGTCATAAATAATTCTTTTAAGTATAATAAGAAGAAGATTAGTGCTTTTAGGTATTAGAATTTAAGCTTGCTAACAATTGAGAGCGATAACTTTCTCTCTCATATGTAGTTCTTTTTAATATAAGATAAGTCGGCTAACAATTGAGCGAGATAATTTTCTCTCTCATTTATATTGCTTTCAGGTATAAGAAGCTAAAAAGATAAACTTGCTGACGATTGAGTAGGAGAATTTTCTCTCTCATTTGTAATGTTTTTTAGTATAAGGTAAGATAAGTCAGCCAACAATTGAGCGGTAGAAGTTTCTCTCTCATATGTAGTGCATTTAGATATAATATTTTAAATACAAGAAATATTAAGCCATAAGCCGTCTAACAATCGAGTAAAATATTTCTCTCTCCCTCTCTCTCCCTCCCTCTCTCTCTCCCTCTCATAAGCTGTGGTTTTAGATACAAGATAATCCAACTAACAATTGAGAGTTGAGGGAGAGATGTCTATCTCTCATAAATAGTGCTTTTAGATATAAGATAATCTCGCTAACAATTAAGGGGGGTCTCTATCATATATAATGATTTAGGTATAAGATAAGCCGACTAATGATTGAGCGGGAGAATGTTCTCTATCATATGTAGTGCTTTTAGCTGTTTGAAAATAAACTTGATAACAATTGAGCGGAACAATTTTTTGTCTCTCATATAGTTCTTTTAAGTATAAGATAAACTAACTAACAATTGAGAGGGAGAACTATCTCTCTAATATGTAAGCATTTTAGGTATAAGAAGATAATTTTTCTAATAGTTGAATGAGATAATTTTATGTCTCATATAGTGCTTTTAGATACTAGAAGATACGCTGCTAACAATTGAGCGAGCGAATTTTCTCTCTCATATATAGTGCTTTTAGGTATTAGAATTGAGCGAATTTTCTCTCATATCTTTTTAAGTATAAGATAATGCGACTAACAATTGAGCATGCAAATTTTCGCTCCCATTTGTAATCTTTTCGATATCATACTATCTGACTAACAATTGAAAGAGAGAATTTTCTCTCATATGCAATGTTTTTTATATAACAAGATAAACTTGTTAATTATTGAGCAGAAGAATTTTCTCTCTTATATATAGTGTTTTTAGGTATTAGAAGAATTTTCTCTCACATATATAGTACTTTATGGTATTAGAATATTGTACTAATATTTTTCGAAAATGTTGAATCCTACAAAGTTATTTTGATTTTAATATTTAGTTAGATCATGAGTAAAATTATATGCTCAGACTGTTCTTAACCGTGCGTATGCACGAGTACTATACTAGTTTTTTTGAAATACTGATATTTTAAAAACTAACAAATAATAAAACAAGCTTCTAAGTTTTGGCTATTCAATAAATCTATGTTGAAGAAGCTCCAAAGTTTTGAACCAACAATGAAACAAATCAAGCATAGAAGATGAAGAGATTGAAGCAAAATCTTCTACATGTAGACTCTAAAATAAACTCTTGCTAACAAAGCCAAAGATGATATACTATATTGAACACTAATAATTCAAAGTTCTGGTCTGGTGTTATCTAGTTTGATCTGGTCTGGTCAAGTGTGGTAAACGTCTAATCTCTGTGTATTTTATAACTACGGAAGTCTGGTTTGGTCTGGCCTGTGACTGAAAACAGTCCAAAAGAAAACATCCTAAACCTCAGTAGCTTTGAAGTAAAAAGTGGTCACGTGTCATTTTCATAGCAAAAGAGCAAATTGTGGAAAGATGCGTACATAGGAATAATGAAGGGTATAATTATCTTTAGTTGAGCTATCTCCTTTCTGATATATAAATAGAAAACACATTCATGTTGATCTGACAAGAGAGCTCATAAATAGACCTGTACAAACACGGGCCGACCCGCTTGGGCCGCCCAGCCCGCCATATAAGTGGGCGGGTTTGGACATGTATAATTGCCCACAAGGCTGGGCCGAGGCCGGCCCGTAAAAATATGGGCGGGCTTGGGTTAGGGTGGACATAAAACCCGAACCGAACCGATACCGAACCGTCCCGTAATGCAACCGAACCGAATACCGGGTTTATAAACGGTTCTATAGATTTTTATCTCGTACCGAAACCGTACCGTTTGAAACGGGTACGGGACCGGTCCTAGATATTGAGAACCGAAAAAACCGGACCGAACCGTTAGAAAATAATGCATTTGAATTTTTTATATTTTTCTATATCAATAGATCTCTTTTATAAACCAACAATTTTATATCCCAAGTATGAATTTATGTGTCCCTAAGATATCTAAATGTGTTTATATATATATATATATATATATATATATATATATATATATATATATATATATATATATATATATATATATTGCTATTTTTTTCTTTTTATATAATTTATGTTATATTTTGGTATGTATTGAAAGAATATTAAAATTTTAGAAATCATGCATTAATGACTATTCATTTCTAGTAATGTAGTGTACATGATTTTTTGTTGTATCATGTTTGTGCAATTTTTACAATCTAATTAATATGGTTTAAATTTTAGCTCTCAAGGTTCGACTATAAATTAAATTAGAACTACGGAGTAATATTTAACATAGAACGAAGAAGAAGAACGTTGAAGATTTCTATTATATTCAACAATGATATTTGTTTTTATATATTCATATGAACTTAGTAAATTAAAGATGATATCTATCTCGTGCATCATAATTTTGTTTCACTTTTTCTTAGTTGTGTTGCACTATTTGTGTATTTGTGAATTTTAGTACCATGTATGCAATTTCCTATATTTATTTCAACATTTCATGTGAGTTGGTTGGTGTGATAATATCTACTAATTGCAAGATTTGTTCAAATTTTTTAGCATGTGTTTGACATTGTACCGTACCGTTTTGTACCGTTCCGAAATGACATGGTACCGAACGGTTCTATCCCTGGAACCGGACCGTACCGGACCGTTAAAAACCTCACGGATACATTACGAGTTTTACCAATTTACCGGACCGCGCCCACCCCTAGCTTGGGTATATTGTAGGCCCGACCCGAAAAATTAATAATATACATAGTACACATTACTAGTATTAATTTATATAAGGGAAAATGGAAACTAAAAATCCAACTTTTTAGCGGTCTTTTTACAATAGTCCCATCTTTTCATTATTCTTGAATAATCCAACCTTTGCACCCCATCTTTATTCATGAATAAAGGTTGAATTATTCATGAATAATGAAAAGGTGAGACTATTGTAAGAAAACCGCTAAAAGGTTGGATTATTAGTTTCCATTTTCCCGGTGGGACTATTACAACATTAGTCGCTTATGCTTTGGCTCCTCCACGTCAATTCATGAAATTTATGATATAACCGGTGGGCATAGCTCAGCTGGTAGCAAGGGAGTGCTAGAAGGGTTAGGTCCCGGGTTCGAATCCTGACAACTGCGATGAGAGGTTACTATGCTAAAAATGCATAGGGCCTTTGCAAGTACCGGGGACAGAGCCTCACTCTCTATATGTCAGATTGGGGTTAATGTAAGTCTGACAGATAGAGAGAAGGACTCTGTCTCCGGTACTTGCAGAGGCGCTATGTATTTTTTAGCATAGTACCCTCTCGTCGCAGTTGCCGTGATATGAACCTGGAATTTAACCTGGCAAGATGAACTATCACACTCCAGACAAGACGAAGCAATGATTGTGCGAGCACCTGTGCCAGGCTGCCAGCTCCTTGTACTAGAGGATCATCATTTTAGAACATTATCTCAAATTCACCTCTTTAATGACTTAAATTTAAGGTCTCACACAGGAGTCATACTCATCTTCATTTCATTCTCTCCATTTACTCTCTCCATTTCTTTTTCACTCTATCTCTCTCCTTAAAAATAATAATTAAACATAATCTTTTCTTTTCCTCTGTCCCACCATCCCCACCTCTCTCTATCTCTCTCCTACTGGACCATTCCAGTTAATGAAGAGAAGCAAAAGCACTCCCACATATAGAGGATCAAGTGTGCCAGTCATCCACTTGAACCACTTTGAGATGTCTAGTACTACCTCCGTTCCTATTGAAACTTTCAAATAGGTTTGGCACACAGTTTATGATAGTGGGTATTGTGTGGCGGAGAGTTGTGCAGGGGAGAGAGAAATGTGTAAGAAATATTGTGAACCACAAATTCTTTACTAAAAAAGGAAAGTGAAAGTTTTAATTGGAACAGACGAAAAAGAAAAGTTGGAAGTTTATTTAGGAACGGAGGGAGTACTACTTATGTCCCATAATGTAAAGCTATACTTCACATACCTTCCTCCGTTCCTTAAAAATTGCAACATTGGAATTTCTGCACTATTCACATACCTTACTTTGACCACGATTTTCTAATAATATATATAATAAAATTATCATGTATAAAATATTAATAAATTTGTATTAATGTAAATTTTCAGTATATTAACTTTTTTAATGTTTACTCATACGTAAATATATATAATTACAGTCAAAGTTGCGCGTTGACAAACATGAAAGTCAAATTGTGCAACTTTTAAAGAACGAATGATAGTATGTATGTTTGGTGTGGGTTTTAAGAAACTAAAGGATAAAGTTGTTGTTTTTCTAATCTTCAAAAAGTAAGAAAGATTATGTTTAGTCAATAAAAATTGCACAGTGAAATGATAGATAAAGAAATAAAATGAAGAAGTAAAAAGTTAATGGAGTTTAATTTAGAAAAGTTCATATTTTTTGACAAAATGTGAGAAAGGGAGTATTTATTTTACGTTTTGATCAACCAGTGATACATGTTTACTGGTAAAATTTAACTTTTGTGTGGGTGCAGGAGCGTATGTATTGGAGGAGTGTTACTTCTCATCAAAGTGACACAATGGACTAACACATCTCAATCGGAAGGGGGGGTCTCTCATCAGCGTATGCGTCACAGACTAATGTATGCCATGCTTTGTTGTGGTTTGCTACCGTGTTTTACCGCTACATATATTTTTTTCATTTCCGTTGTCGGTGGTCTTGTGACTGACAACGATATTACCGGTGACCCCTTTGGGCTTTGAAGAGTTACTTTCCATAGTTATACTCTGTACTATCGTATTTATTTTCAATACCAAGTACTCCCATTTTCTGCTATTTGTTTCCCTATCTTTGCTACCTCTTCTATGTAACACGGTCCAACCAATATTAGAATTCCAATGTTTTTAGTTCTTGTAAATATAGTACATCTTATTTTACCCCCTTCTTACAAAACTATTTTGTGTTTTTCATCTCTAAAATTTATGTTGATTTCCTTTTTAGTCCAATACAGATGATAACAACCTATGTTTGACAACGAAACAACAGCGGTGAATAAGTTTCTTCTAATTCTGTGTCATGTTAATAAAAAAGTGTTAGAGTATATTTTATTGTTTTGATCAATTTATGTTTATTATCTCTATAATAATTGGATTTTAATTTATAGGCTTATTAGAATCTTAGCATTTAGCCTACATAGGTAACATGGCCCTAAATGTTTGGGCCCATAATAGACTAGATGTAAGACACATATATCTAGTACTCCCTCCGTCCCTCAATACTTTGCCATGTTTGATCGGCATGAGAAATAAAAAGGTAAAAACTGTGTGATTGAGATATGTGCAGATGAAAGAGAAATGTCAGGAATCACAAATTCATTGATTAAAAGGAAAAGTGACAAATTTTTTCAGACATCCAAAAAAAGAAAGATGACAAAGTTATAAGGGACGGAGGGAGTATATAAATGTAACACATTAGGTATCTGTGCACACGTAACAATACTAAGCCACAGCCGCGGAGAGCATTTTCACATGAGCGTATTCCTATTGAGAAGCAGAGAGAGATTTCCTTTGTAAAACTTTCAATATCATTATCAATAGAATCCTCGTTGTTTCTCTATTCATTGTGTGAGTGCATCCATATCTGTTAGTAGCTGATTTCTGGAATTTAACATCCGGTATCAGAGTAGACAAGGTATTGATCGATCATCTTCATCGCTCTCGCTTCTCTGTATTTGACGAACACAGAAGACATCTGATCATCAGTATTTCAAGCCCGAAAACTACTAAAAACTACAACCTCCGTCCTTTAAAACTTTGCCAACTTTCCTTTTTTAGATATCCCACTAATTTTGCCACTTTCCCATTTAAGTAAAGAATTTGTGGTTCCAGTTAATTCTCTCTCCTCTGCACAAACCTCAACCACACAGTTTTTGCTTTATTAATCCCCGTGCCGGTCAAACTTGACAAAGTTTTAAGGAACGGAGGGAGTACTACACAACGATCATCAGTATACCTACCTCAACCAATCATGTTTCTATAGCATGTCATAGGTCTTATAATAGAGACACAGGAAGTTCGTAATACTAGAAAATTTTAAAACAGACACTAACTTTCATCTAATATTACAAGGTTTAGAGTACTAGGAATATACTCATACCAATTCTTAAAGTTCAACAACTCGCAAGATATCATAGGATAGTAGATACCTAGGAGTCAACCATTGGAAAAGTTCCGGCCAATCAACAAGTCCAAAAATCATTCCAAAACAACAAGAATTATAACAAACAAGCATCCCACATTCTCACACGCGCCTAGGCCTTAAACTTAATTCCTAATCAGATTCTTTAGTTCTAGTTAATAAAATTAATTAGTCAGTTCAAATAGTTTTAGAAAACCTTTAAAAGATTTTGTAAAACAAACGCTAAAACAACAAGTGTAAAGATAGTTTCCCCAAAACAATTAAGTTCAGAAGAGTTTAAATTGCAGCAGAAGTAAAGTATCCAATGAGTGTTACCGCCATACTCGGTTCTCACATAACTGAATGCACAGGCTAAACCACAATCCAAAAATATGTCCAAGTATTTAAGTATTGAAATCTCAAAAACAATTGATTTCTCTACATGTCCCAAAACGGAAATAAATAATAACTAGGTACGTGATTATAATTACCAAACTATGTGATCTAATGCAGCTCTCAGCAATAAGCATAATCCTCATCACTTGTACCAAATAAAGGGCAGAAAACAAAACTAAGACAAAGGAACAAAAATTAGCATTTTGCTAAGTAAGACCCACCCAACCCCGTAAAATAATATAGTTTGAAGAAAATAGATTTGATACTTAACCTATAGATTCAAAAATCCTTTTAGTTCTCAAAATACAATTTTCAATTTTAAACTCACATTCATCATTCAAAACAACCTTTGAGATTCAACATCAATAACTATAAACTTTATTTACTCACATCTCCTTAAAGAAGAAAACACACTCTCCACAATTTAACTTTCAACATATCAACTTCCCCACAATAGCTTACAAATACTTATCCATATAGATTTCATATTCCAAGAAATACTTATCCACAATTAATTCTCCAAAACCATTTACTTTTCAATTCAAAATATTATCCAAATTACATGAATACCCGAGTTGTCTACCGGTCCTATCATTATGAACATATTGTTCATAGATTACTCTACTCCAAAGATCATTATGAACTTGTAATTCATAGGTTACTCAAAATCTATGAACTTGGGATTCATAGATTACTCCACTTGTCATTATGAACATAAGGCTCATATATTACTCAGGATGTCATTATGAATGCATACTGCATAGATTACTCTCATATCATTATGAACATTAAATTCATAGATTACTCACATATCATTATGAACACGTAGTTCTTAGATTACACAAATCATTATGAACATCTAGTTCATAGGTTACTCACATATCATTATGAACAAGTAGTTCATAGATTACTCACATAATACATAACTTCAAAATACTTTCTCAAAATATCTATTTCATATTCAGGTCTCAAAATCATATGCCAAACATATTCAATTCAAAGTCAAAGTTGACAAATTAGGGTTTACCCAAAACTAGCTAGTTCCAAAATAGTATTTAATACCATATTCAAAATAATCCAATAAGTATATTTATAACTCCACTATATATATGTAAATATTTATACCAAATTATACATTTAAATATATGTAATTTCTCCCAAAAGATTTGATCTCACGATACTTTCTAAAAAGAGGGTGTAACCCAAACCACCGCTTCACAAGAGTAGCATTTACTACCACCACCAAAATAATCCAATTGGGGTATTCTAAACCCAGAATATATTTTCAAAATAACCAATGTGAATAATCTCAAAACATACTTCAATTCATACCAAAATAATCACCACAATTTTCTAATCCAAGAATAATTATTTCTCAAAAATCACAATTTCGGCCATAGCAAATTGATTTGACAAATTCACCCAAAACCATACGTTCATAAGTTTCCATAAAATAATAGATCATAATATCCATATTATAATATCCGAATTACTCATAGAATTTCAGAAAGAAACGCAATTCATAACTCAAACCCTAGTTAATACGATAGTATATAATAGGGCCAAATAGTAATTTTGATTGCAATAGTCATTACCTCGAGGCTAGCAACAAATCCTAAATGTCAAAACTAGCTTTAGAGGTCAATCACACTTCCCTAGAAAGTTATAGGGTCGAAGGATTACAATTTAGGAGAGAGACATCAAGAAAACAAAGAAAACATGTGAATTAGGCAACAAACACGCTTACCGAAAGAATTGATTGTTTAATCACGTTCTTGGCCTTAAAATATTCTTGGGAGTGTGAGGATTGAAGAGTTGGAAGAAATATATCTTGAATAGGCAGCCTTAGGGTTTTTAGAATGAGGAAAATCGGATTAGGGATGTGTATTAGTGTATATAGTGAATTTCTGAAACAAAATTGAATTATTTCCCAAATTCTCCTAAATTTTCGGGGTATTACATTCAGGGAGCATTCGGTGTACTCTTTTCCTCTTATTAGGATTTTTTCACAGAGTTTTTTTCTAAAGATATTTTTAACGAGTCATCTCCCCACTGTTAATAAAAGGTGTCGACTCTCGACCCGTACGGGAGTCATCACGAAACATTCACTACTCTACTTCTCTTCACATCCTTACACTCGCCTCAAGAAGTGGGGACTATCCACAGCAATGTAAACTCATCTTTCATTTTCATATAGGAACTCGATCTATGGTAATTTGGTTTATTTGTTTCTATCCTTTGAACGACCTTTTATCTAAGTCAAACTAGCTAATAGGATAGGATGAATGGAGTTGTATAAGCCTATTCACATTCAACTTCCGTATAAAAACTTAAATATGGACTCCGTTGATATGAAACAGCGTATAAACTATGATACATCAATATTGTTTTTCACCGCTTTCCAACACTGTCAATATTTTGAAAGTACATTACTTTGGAAAATAAGATTAGAAAGTACCCCCTCAATGGGAAAAAACTCATGTTATATATGGAGACTAACTGATTAAGGGCTACAGGTTTGCTGAATTTGGTAATTTGGGTGGCCAGAAGCCCAAATTGTATGTGATGGTCTCGGATAGAGGTAAACGTCTGGGGGGGGGGGGGGTTAATAGACTTTTAAATCTTTTTCAACTTTAAAAACTTTTCCCTCCTAGATAGAGTGATCTATAACATTTTGGGAGATTATAGATGTACAACGGAAGTCTGGACCTCTATATATGCAGTGTATGACAACTTTCTATTTAGTGAGTTTTCTCTGGAAGTGATAAATGAACTTTGCGAGTTAAGCTAACAATCAGATTAGCCTTATAGATTCTAAATAAGTCTTCCGGAAGTTTATCAAGATGTTTGGACTTATTTGGGTGGGCAGATGGCAGAGCAGCAGGGTATGTAGGCACCAGGCTGCTGCTGAGGCTGCTGCTATGCCATAATGTGATTTTGAGAAATCTGATTGTAGGGTTTTACTCAGGATGATGAGAGCTTTCTGGAAATGTACTAAGCTTACTCAAAGTGTAGATTTGTGTGAGCAGTAGGTTGGGCAGCAAATTAAGTAGGCAGCAGGGTGCTGCTGAGCCTGCTGCTAGGTTATAATGTGAATTTGAGAAATCTGATTATACAAGCTTTTTTGAAATGATTTGGTGAGGCTATTGTTATATTCAGATGTCTTAAATAAATAGTATAGATGGGTAACAGGCTGAAGTGAGGGTGCTGCAGAGTCTGCTGTTGAAGATGGTTCTCTTTCTTTAAGAATTGTTTTTGTCAGTTTAAAGTACTCGGCTTGGGCTTTCTTTTGAGTGTAAAATAATTCTGATTGGATCAGTTTAATATTTTTCTCTTTTTCTAATATTCAGTGTCCAGAACAC